TATTTAATTTCATCTTTTGTTTTATTACCATTTTTGTGAAAAATATTTTCTCATTTGATTTTTTCTTTTTCGGGCAAATTTTCAAATTTGGTCTCCAAGAAAGAATCAAGGAGGATATTTCTTTTATTATTATTAAGATTTCTTATTTATTAGATTTATTATTATTTCTGTGGGCTCGAATAAAATAGGGTGTTTACAGTCTAAATGAAAACTTGCTTAAAGCCCACCCAATCAACATCCCCATGATTCTCAAGCCACTAAAATAATTGTGAAGGGAAACTTGTCATATTTTTCAAAGCATCATTGAACTCACTTTCAAGCCTTACATATCCAATGTCATCAAGCAATTTTAATGCGTCATCCTTGCTGATTAGTCCTTATTATACAGGCCATCAAAAATACTAGAATTACTATAGTCTAATGGAAGCAACTCTAAGTGTCGATCTCCTGGTCTCTAGGCTCTTAGATCAACTGTTCAGTGAAGATAATGAACAAATTAAACAAGAAGAATATAGATGTTCTTTATTTTTGGTTTGTTTTTGTGTAAGAAAATGAAATTCACAAACACAGAGGAAAGAGTTCTTCAACTCGAAGCAAACAGAGATAAACAAATTCTAGAAACAGAATTCAATTGACTAACTTTCTCTTGGAAGTTTCACCTCACCATCATCACCAAATTATAGTTAAGGAAATCCACTTCTGCACCATAGTCAAAGATCACAATCTGAGAACATAAGAATAGAGGAAAGGAATTGAATGTTCAAAGCGCAAAATCATCCCACGACAATCAGTAAACCTGAATGCCAAATTTAATTCAATCTTACAAAGCGAATCCAAATCAATTGATAGAAATTCAAATGTCTACTCAAAATTATAGATGAATACCAAATGCATCAAGAATTCAATTCAGTTCATCAATTCTAACTGAACAAGATGAAGCACGCTCCATCATAATTCTCTGTTGCAAACATGCAATGACAGAGAGGAACAAAAAATTGAAAATACAGATTAATGAACTAGCTTCTTCCATATTAACAATAGGGTTCAGGTGATGTTTAACTTCCTAAAGAACAAAGTGCCTTAGTCGAGCATGGTTGAGGTTTCATCTCTGCTGAGATTCTGATTCAGGTTCGCCATGGCTGAGCTTTACACTTAATCATAGAAGTTGAGAGTAGAAGATGAATGAGAGAGAATGGAAAAGAATCAGAAAGTCAGTCCCTTCAATCTCGCGACTTCCGTTTCTTTGTATTCACCGGCATTCCTCCTCTTTTTTTCAGTTTCCCCGTCATCCGTTTTCTTGCTGCCTCCATCTTGCGCAAGTGGATTCTGTTCATTTCTATTAGAAGTCTGTTGGAAGGGTCTTTCAATTTCGATTTCCCGCTTCCTCAATTCAATTTTTCAGTTTTGGAACCGAAGGAATCCGTTTTCCCTTGGTGATGGAATTCGAATTCTCTTGTTAATAGAAAAGCTTTCTTCCGGAATACATTTCCTTCCTTGCTAGAATTGTATTTTCAATCAGTGTGAATTTCCAGTTTCGTCCCTAAAATTGTACTAATGATGAAGAGATAATGCCCAGTCTGGAAAATTAATCAAATGATCACTAAAAATACATTTTAACCTATTTCTCCTATTTATGTGCATAAAATGTTAGTTCATCAATAATGCAATTAACACCTAATTAATCCACTAAAATACCCACAAAATGCACTTGTTAACATATTAAAACAATGGTTTATCACTTGCTCTGGGCACTATTCTTTTCTTATCTCTGTTTAATTTTATCAATGCTCCATTAAATTTTTTTTGCATGTGTCGATAGCAAAATACATGATGCTCACTGCCAAATATTTCCTGTACAACCCTTATAGCATTGTGATGGCCTAAAATAATCGTCAATTCAATTAACCTTATTATCTTTTTAATCATAACTAAAAACCATGTGCAGTCCTCATATGTCCCTCCTTTTATAATACCAATTGCAAACATCAATAATTCATTATCTGCATCATATGCGGAGGCTGATAGCAAGGTACCCTTATACAGGCCACTTGAATGAGTTCCATCTATATATAGTACATGTCTTGGCCTAGCCATGGATCCTTCTATACAACACCCGTATGCTATGAAGACATGCTCAAAAATGTTATTATGAGAAGCTACCCATTCAGCTATGGTTTTTGGATCAATACCTTTCAACTGTTGACATATCCATGGTATAAGCATGTAAGACTACTATGGTCTACCTTGAATCTCGTCAAGTACTTTTTTCTTAGCAGCGTATGCTTGTTTCTATGTGAGATTCACACCATAGTCTCTTTGTAATGTCTTCCTAATTTCACTTGGACCCTTGTCTATGTGAGACCTTACGTCCTCAATTATAATAGGTGTCATTAGACTAGTTCTTCGAGCATGTATCACTTGAAGGTTGTATTGGGCATAATAAATGTATTTACCTCGAAATTGTGTCACATATAGGAAAGGAGTTTTCTTCCCTACTACATTTGCAACTATCTTCCAGGGACACCCTACAATCTTACATTTAACAAACATCTTTGTACTGAAACTTGTGAGCAATACTATACTTGAAGAATGCCTCTTTAAAAGCATCAACATTTGCAAATGTTTGCAATACTCCTAACATCAATTTTTTCCATTTCAATGAGTTCAATTTAGACATTGGTGTAAATGCATTTTGTACTCTACAAGGTAGGCTACTAGGTCCTCCAAGTGCTCCATTTGTTAGAGAGCTTCGTTCTGAGCCTCCTAGTAATTCTTCAATGCTGCATAACTCAATAACAACTTTTGTTACTACATTAACAATAACACTATAATGAATAACAACTTTTTAAAATATGTACATATATATAGCAACAAAGTTACTTACACTTGTTGCTCATCTAATGTTTCCTGTACATTAACATTTCCTTTGCATGCTATATACACATGCCCACTTCTCTCATTATACTGAAATATTAATATCAATGGCAATCCATGATGTTATCATTACGCTCATTTCTTTAACTGTCATCCCCTCTCTTATGGTTTTTAATCTTACTCTCCCTCCATTATATTGAGTTTGACCTTCAACATTCTTCACAAATTGCCCATCTACATGGAAAACAAACAACATAGTTCTTTTGCAGACGTTGATCTAGAAGGAGATGTCATTTTTAATGCCAACCTGTAACAAATAAATTATTTTAATTAGTATTTTAGTTGGATTTAATTGAAATTCTTTATAAAAGTAATATGATTAACACGTGAATGAAAATGGTTGATAGGTTATCTGAAGAAAAAAAATACATAAAAAATATGAGTATTCATATAATTGTTCAACAACTTCAACACCAAGCATTTTATATTGTTGAGTGTGAGAATGTATCAAAAAGATATAAATTTAGCATTGCTCAACAAATCTCTTCTAAATCATGTATTCAACACTAACATATTGATCATCTAATTAGGTTTGAAGTTGGTCGGGGGAAAAAAGCTTCCAATTAGGTTTGGAGATTCACAATGGCTAGCACAAACGTAGATGATCATATGCTATTATATATTATCTTAAGGATTATTATCCTTTCAACTTTAAATCAAAAAAATGGCACAAACTGAAACATGAATAAGATATTGGTTCATACTCCAAGAATGTTATCTCAAAATGCTGGGACAATTCTCCTTCCACTAAAAGTATTGCTAGCGAGCATTCTATTCTCAGGAAAAAAAATAATGACCTAAAAAATAATAACCTAATCAGTCTTTATGTGATTTGAAAAGTCATAAATTTAATATTGATAGATATGGAAGAATTCTATGAATCTTTAATTCATTATCATGTATTTTTCTCTCTTGATTTTTAATTTTTTTTATGGAAAATTTTTCAATTAAATTTACAGGAATAATTAAAACTAAAATCAGGCCTACACCTACATTCAGTTTTCCTTTTTAATTACAAAGGAGCATTATAGTCTTTTAGTAACATTTGAAAATTTCTAATTAGGGGGAATTTATTAAAATTGTAGACCTGAATTAAAATTTTATTATTTCAGATAAATTTGATTGGGATTTTTCCTAGAAGATATAACATGAACGGGATGGGAAACCATCAGAATAGGACGCAAAATAGAAAAGTCACGTACTCAAGCAAATTCTTATGAAATTATTGTTTTGGATGGTATAGTATAAGAACAAAAAGCAACAAACGTGCGTGCGCGTGCGTGCGTGCGTGCGTGTTATAAGAACGATTTAATCCTAGAGGCTTTCAAAACGGGGGACTCTGTTTGGATGGCACTATGGCAGATAAGTTAACCTACGTTTTTGGGCTTTGGACTGCCCATTCACATTGGACCAAGTGTGTATGTGCGCGCGTGTGTGTTTTTTGGGTTTTTTTTGGGGGGGGGGGGGACTTAAATTTGTAATAAGAACCTTGAATAGGTTTAATCCCAGAGGCCTTCAAAACGGGGGACTCTGTTTGGATGCAGATAAGTTAACCTACGTTTTTGGGCTTTGGACTGCCCATTCACATTGGACCAAGACACAGGCCCGACACGATTTTACAAAATCAAAAGATAAAGAAATTAAGCAACATTAATAGCGCTTGCTCCTCATGATATGTGGTCCAAGTTAGGCATTAAACGTCCTCTTCATGAAAAATCAAAGATGAGAATAAATACCACCACAAAGTTAACCCAATGTATTTTTCTTTTCTCCATTATCTTTCCTCCTTTGGTTTTCTTTTATTTTTTTTCCCCCTCAACCGTTCACTTTTGCCCTTGGTAACAAGCTAAAGGAGAGTAGTAAGTACTAAGTGGAGCTTTGGTAATATTTTTTTTTCCCGGTAGAACTAGTTACTGTTTGAAAATGATAAATTTTTAAGATCATTTTTCATTCGTATCCTGTTAAATTATGCTAATAATTAGCTAGTCTCATTTAATATAATTAAGTTTGAATTATTTGGCTTTTATATAAAGGACCTGGAGTAAAATTGAAAGAAGAGCAGGTAGTAAAAATAAACTGAACTTGAAATTACAAGCCGAAATAAGAAGTTACAACTTGACGAGTCTCTGATACAACCAGAGATAAATGCACAACAACATAACTACAGCCAAAGCTGTTTTACAATTTTGATTAGAGAAAGCAAACACTGCTTCTCACAAACTCTCCACCAAAAGGAGAAAAATCACAACCACAAAGGAAAAGAAAAGGAAACTTGTTAATTCATATTCCTTCAAACACTAACTGGCGGGTAGTCCCCAGATTCCACCTCTTCCAGTAAGCTCTTTAACCCCCAAATTACCACTTCGGCTGCTAACTCTTCTTCAGCAGCAAAAGCTCAAAAATACTTCCCCAAAAAATTAAAAAAAAGACCGCATGAATCTTCTGGAACCCTACACTGACACAGCCTAACTCACACCCAAAACGATGAAGAGCCATTTCAAAAATAAGCCCTTCTCATTTTCTGACCCAAAAAGGCAAAAAAAAGAAAAAAAACTTCCCCCACAGACATACAGTAGCATACTATCTAATATCTTAGTATACTAGAGAGTCACCTAACTAAAACTTGAATTGAGGATATCCAATTCAAGATCCTATCTATATAATCTATAACATATCATAAATCAGGGGATTTGAGGTTGAAGCTTTTAGTTGAACTGAGCGCCAGTGAAGGTTTGGCCAAAGGACCAGCCTGCTGGAGCAACGTTGTTAGAGACTACAGTGCGACCATCGCTGGTTGTGACCTTAAAGGACAGGCTTTGTCCGTTAAGGTGGTTGTTGCTCTGCCAGTTCTGACCCCAGTTCCTTGACATTGGCATCCAGCCGGTCCTAGACCCTTTAATGGCCACCGCATGAACATCTCCGGCGCCTCCCACATTGGTGATGAGGACTAGGTTGAAGTACGAGTGTCCATTGATTGTGAACCTCATACCTCCCTTTCTCCTGCAGGGTACCCTACACAAAACAAATTTCTTATATATCAATCTCATGGCTACCCACACTTGAACATTCTCAACAATATCGTCCGAACAAAATGTTACCTTCGGTAGGCCACAGGGACGATTCCGGCTCGGTACTGGGCGATGCGGAGGAAGACGGGCTGGGCGAGGTCAAAGTGTTGGAGGGGAGGGTTGCACCAGCCGCCGGCATTGTTGGGTAAGGCATTGTTTGGAGGGCAGAAATTGGTGGCTGTGACCACAATGGAGCCAGGGAGGCACCATTTAGCATCATTGGCACACTTAATCTCAAAGCAAGAACCACAGCTCAAGCCATTGTTGAACAGAGCAGTGCTCAGAGCAGCCGTGTTGGTCCCATACCCCTGGCTGTACAGATTCCCGTACCCACAAGCACCGCCTGCACATTTTCAAAAAAATAAAATTAGCCAAATGGGTCTCCTCCAAAAGCTTCAAGATCCAAACTTTCTGGTAAATGTGTGACATTTTATGCCTAAATTCATTGTTTTGCACTTACCCATTGTCCCTGAAGCGTCACTTCCTCCATAAAAGGTAGCGTGGGCGTCCGTCCACCCTCCGCCGCCGGATCCATGGGCGGAGGAAACCACCAAGAGAAAAGCCGTTACGACAAGCAACCCCAGGTGAGCCATTTTTCTTTTCCTGAACAAACAACACACAGAAAGAAACTATCAGCTTCCTTCTTCTTCTTCCTCCTCCTCTTCCTGGGAGCTCAGAATAATTCAAACTAGAGCCAAAAGACTATTACTTTGACACACAGGCTTGAAGCAAGCAGAGCAACGACTCAGAGAAGATGAGGGAAGTTGTGAGGAGGTTGTGTGAAGGAAAATGTGAGGGGTTGCGACCTAATTTATAGACCTTGGCGGGGGCAACGCGAGCTAAGTATGGGATTGGGCTGAGCGGGTAGATAGGGCCACACACAAAACTTACACAACGAACTACTATTACTTTTAAATTGTTGGGACCATAAACTGCAAAGGACGACAACTAAGTGGTAACTGGTAAGAATTTCTCAGGTCAAAAAAAAAAGGGTAAGAATTTCTCCATTGCATGTGGTCTTTGATCTGACGGTCAGGATTTACGTGTCAGATCCTTTTTTTTTTTTATCAAACTATATATAAAATTTTTGACAAAATTAGAAGAAATGGAATTCCTGCTGCTGCTTGAGCAACTATGAGTTCACTTTGAAGGAGACAAACGGTTTGTAGTTTTAGGTTTTTTTTTTCTTTTTGACCTTGTAGTTTTAGGGTTTGAAAGCGCGTGGAAGGGTATCTTTCCCAGTGGGTGCATGCCGGATTTTAAGTAAAGGAGCTCACAAGCTTCCAAAGGCAAGAAAGCATCGTCGTCATTTTGCCGCAAATGCCCCTTTTACACCCTCTCCCTCTCTCTCATGCTTTTCAGTTTTCATTAAGAACTGGTTTTCAGTTTTCTTTTCATTTATTAACCTCCTCCCCCGAATTTAATTCACACTTTCGCACAGAAATTTTCTCTCGCATCAGAGATGCATCCTTTCACATGAAAAGGGTGTTGGGGGAAAAAAATGCTGCATATATTCTTTCACATATCTTTTTATATTTAAATGAAGCAAAATTGGGTTAAAAGAAAAAGTAAGTAATTATCTTATAAGTGATTTATATTCGAAAATAAATTTTTCTCCTGCAAGTGACTTATATAGAGAAACATAGTGATATTTAATGGGAATTTAAGTCAGAACGAGCAAAAAAAGTTAAGTCTGAAAATTTTTTTGGCGTCAATCACCTTACAGTTTAATGGTAAGGAAATTTCTTTGTAAATAAGATATTATTATAATTTTGGATTCATTCACGATGTCTTGTTGTTAGTGCTCTTTAATTCAAAAAAAAAAAATTAGTTTTGGTGAACCCAAATTTCACCATACATAATTTCTTACAATTTTTAATCATGTGTCTGGATATACCAATTAGGAGATTCAAAACTCACTTTTGCAAACATTGTTGTCATTGAATGCTTGCTTGATTGATTTTGTTAAATTACGTTTTTTCCCCAAATCTTAGTTTTTTTTAATACAAGTAGAAGCTTGTTTTTCCAAAACTGGATTTTTCTAAACTACGTTTTATTAATATCATTTTCTACAACTACTAGCAAAACACACAAAATAACTTCGGTTTGAAGAGTTGATCATGACTAAACAAGTCTCATGACTCACTTCTTCTATTATTAACAATACTCTAACACGTTTTTTTTTGTTAAATGAATCAAACAACTAATTAATAACTAGGGCCTAAGACAGTTGACTTTTAATTAAATTCCCTAAATATCTAGTTAGAAATTCAATTCCCAACGATATGTATGAAAAAGGTCTTGTGGTCAGCACAAACCATAAAAAATTTAACAAGTTACTCAAGCATGAATTCTACGAATTATTTTCTTTTTAACTTTGACTGAAAACAACTTTGTTTCATGCTTAACAAGAAGAGTAAAAAATTACAAAATTCAATCAAATTGTCTCATTCACAAGTCAAAACTCTAAACCGGAGGATCGAGAATCGGCGTAGGGGGTTTGGCGCTAGAGCTGGTGATGTAGGCAGCGCGACTAGTTATGGGCCAGTCCATCACGGGTTGGAGCCCATGCATATCCTCTTGAAAGAACCTACCTCTCGAGCCTGAGTGGGTTTTTCTTTAAATTTCTTTTTTTACATATTTTACACATATTTTTAATTTTTCAAATTAAATTACAAAATTTTATAGATTAGATCCTACTTATTTTTATATTTTCAAATAACTACATAATTAAATTAATATCAAGACTTGCAAATATAAACAAATAATCTATTTTTAATAGTTGTTTTATTAATATAAAAATATAAAATAATAAATAAAATGAGAGATTAATTTAGAATCAAAGTATTTAATAAAATATTAAACAATATTTAAATTGAATGAAAATGATAAATTCTTTCTCATTAAAATTAAACTAACTAAAAACAATAATAATAAAAAAGGCTAGCCTACCTACCCAAAGCTCGAGTTGGCAGGTGCTAGTTGAAAGGATTAATCTCAAAATGAGCTCGTATTTTATCAATCCAATCTATTACTTTTTGGCAGGTTAGCCACCATATTATAACCTCTGTTTGAAATTTATTCGCTTGAGTTATAGGGCTTTTCTGAATTATTGATTGAAATTTTCAAAATCAGCTTTTTAATCATAATTAATTTATGACATCGGGTAAATAGTTTCTCACTACTTGTATCCAAACATGCTCATGATAGGTAACTCTAGAGCACTCAATGCCACCGTAATTCACTTTCTGTAACCAAGCGAACAAATTCTGAAACTCCCAATGAATATCGGTGGGAGGGGCCAAGGAACAAGACACAAATAGGATCCGTGCAGGCAGCTCTGTGCAAGTGGGCCTCCTCTGTTCGCATGGACGGTCTCTGTGTAACTTAACATGTCCGGTTTTACTGTTGCTGACGACTCTCCCAAAGTTACCCACAAAAAGCAAACCGAAAAGCATTCCCCTGCACATGGGTGCAACAACGCAACACAATATTTTCTTTTTCATTTCTTTATTTATTTTATTTAGATATACTTTATTCACGTTTCAGCCTTGACGAAGACACCTACCTTCTCCTCTTGGCGTCTTTTCTTATTCAGCCGGCGATAATCAAATCTTCTCCCTCCCAGCTCATTGCTCAGCTGTGGTTATCCGTCCAGCTATTAGCATCTTCTCTTTTTTCAAATATATTGATGATAGCTATCTAGTATTCCATCCGTTTTTTCCCCATAAGGCCATAAGAACAGTTAAACCAATCAGGTTAATTTAAAAAAAAGTTAGTCAGAATTGGTTAGAGATAATAAATATGTGAAAAAAATATAATTTTTTTTCTTAAATATAAATACATTTAGTTATTGGGAGAGAGTACAGGAGGGAGAATAAAAAAAATATTAAAATATGATTGCGTAAGAAAGAGAATGTGCAGTCGAGTGATAGACTGATAGTAAACATATTTTTATTAAAATGAGTAATTAAATGAAAGAAAAATGAAAAATTAATATAAAAAAATTTGAGACATCCTCTAATATCTCTTATAAATAAACACAAGTCATTAGCCATAGTTATTTCTTATAAAAAAAAAAGAATTATTTATTAGGATATCCAATGTAAATAAAGCATAAACTTAAGTTTAAAAATTTTAGGTTAAGACGTAGTGTGAGTTCTATTTCATATATATTCTTCTTCATGTTTTTCTTTGGTTAGTAACAAATGAAATTTGAGTATTCTTCTATCTAATAAAAATGATTCTTTTTACGTGAATATTTTAAAGATTAATATCATCTTTAATCTTTAAAATTTGAGCTCATCTTGATTTTGATTCCTAAAGTTAAAAACGAGTGGTTTATCCCTAAATTTAACTTCATTTTAGTTTGTTTAAAGATTTTTAATCCCTAAAACAGTGTTTTTGATTCTTGGAATAAATATTAAAATTAAAATAAGATCAAATTTCATGGACCAAAACTAATAATTTTAAATGCTAAGAATTAAAATGAAAATAAGATCAGATTTCAAAACTAAAACCCTTAATTTCAAATTTTAGGAACCAAAGTCAAAATAATATCCAATTTCATGATGTTAACCTTTTTTTTTTTTTTACCATTCATAAGTTTTTGATAACCATTATCGCGATTTAATGATAGGATTATAGAGATAAGGCGTGCATGGAAAACGATAAGCGTTGATTTGAATTTTTCATTTTACGTGGATAAAAAATGCAAACAAAGCGGGATTCTCGCCATTAGTGTTTCCTAATCATTTTAAAGGAGTGTTTGGATGTAAATCAAATTATGGTTTTAGAAGTGATTTTATAGTATATAAAATACATATGTAAAAAAATTTATCTCGATTTACGAAAAAATATTTTTAAGTACTTATTCTAATTTTTAAATACCTTTCATGCGCGCTTATTTACTTACTTTCAGTTGGGTACACACACTGCTGTCTTTTTTCATCGGCGTCGTCGTGTCAGGTTACATAATAAATTAAAACTGCTTGAAACTAATATATCATTAAATAAATGATTATGATTTATTTGTGTATAAGACACAAAGTTGCAACATACAATGGAAGTGAAAGTTTTATTAAAGAGATATAAGGTGTTGTGTCAGAGCAATATTTAGCAGTGATTGTCCATATCAGGCAGCCTTGACCGATTAGGCGGAACTCTTCGCTTGAGGGCAAACTGGTAGGCCTATTTTTTCTTTGAGCAATACCCACATTAGACATAACAATTTCAAACATATCTTTTTATATTTTTTTTAGCAAAATATATCTTTTTCTATACTCCTTCAACTCTAAGTATATAGGAATATAAGTTAGCTAGGGAGCTAAGCTAATTTTAGACAGAAATTCAAATCAGTATAGATAAAAGCTGATTTAGAAAGTTGGAAAAATCTCATATAAATACTGTGTGAATTCAAAAATTTCAAACTAGTCATTCTAATTTCACAAAGAATAAAAAAGGTCTACAAATATTAAATTAGGATTTATAAATTTTAACAAATTACCTTTATGTCCTTTCTCTCATCCCTTCTTGTCTTCTTCTTCTCTTCATGTTGCAGAATCAGAGAGAGAACTCTTCTCTCCTTTTAGATTATCTTTTTTTTTTTTCCGAGAGACAGCCTTTGTAGATTTTTTTCTCTTGAGCTAAATTCGAGAAAGCTCAACTTTGTTGCTTCTATTTTTGGTTTACTTAAAGGAAACCATGGGAACTAGACTAATAACTATGTTATCTCTTTTAGAGAGGGAGGGAGGGACTAAACCTTCTTTTTCCTCAGTCATGGTAGCA